ACACAACTGACTCGCTACAGAGCAGTTGCCCGAGTCGTCACTGTATCGAACCGCAACAGCAACAGTAAAGTAGTTACAACCGTACCTCTTCGTATTCCTTGTACTCTTATATATTTTCTTGTATCTCTTTGTTTCAATTAATTTACTTTGCCCTCACACACTAGCGCAAGGTGGTTCACTACTCTTTAATTAACGCTTCCGCTATTACATCAACCCTACTCAGATTTCACCCCTGCAAAGATCCTAAGGGCTTTTCTCAGCCCAACATGGTATGAGAGCTATCAGGGGGAATTCAACTTCTAAACCGACAACATCAACAAGCATGGCTACACAAAAGGAAAGGAGCAACTCCAATGGCTCCCAGGGCACTACTCCTACTCCACCTCCTGCCTCTGGCCTACAGACAGAGGAGGGCACGGCAACAAGACCCAGAGCAACATCTACCGAGACTCCCGCGAATCAGCCCGCAGACTTCGACCAGAGCATGATGGAGAAGTTCTTCTCCTTCATGTCCTTCTACGAGCAACACCAGCAATCGGCACCTGCGCAGTCACACAACAGCAACAACAACGGAGCAACACCCATGAGTCTAGACGGCTCATCATATGCACGAGGAAATCAACAGCAGCAGCCTACCTTTGCTCCGTACGAGCGCGGGTCCATCAGCTTCATGCCTCACCCGCAGCCCTCACCTGGACAAGAAAAATCACTGGACGCATTACAAGTTCAGTCGCAGTTTGCACACGTTCTGAAGATGCAGACGTCAAGGCCCTTCGATGGAAAGGACTTTTTTACCTGGTCGTTTGAATTCGAGCTGATGATGGAAGGCGCGCAGATACTTGGCTTCTTCGACGGGTCCCTGCCATACCCAACAAACGGCACACAGTACGAGAAGCAGCAGTACACCTATCAGTCAATGATGGCGTACACGATTCTACTGAGAAACATCACCCCGACTCAACAGCAGAACATACGATCTTACCGGGGTTACGGCAACTCCGCGGAGCTCGCGTACAACCACCTGAAGAGCCTGTATCAAGCAACAGACAGCGTAAGTCAAAGTCGGTTAATGGCGCAACTGACAACAGTTGAAATGAAACCGGGAGAAAAGGGGATGGCATATATCAGCCGCTGTCGCGAACTGCGCGACAAGCTTCTTCGATGCGGAGGATCGATTTCTGAAGACGCCTTCGTGACAGTTATCATCGGCGGCCTCGGTCCTCAATGGCGCGCCACAAAGGCCATATTCCGAGCCCACGGAAGAATCTCCGAAGAAGCGCTCTGCGCCGAAATCCACGCCGAACAGCAAGACATGGACCTGCAAGAAGAACGACATAAAAGGAAGACATCAGCACCGGAATTCACGTTCCACACTCAACGACGCTACAACAACAACAACAACCGGCAGCAACAGCCGAAGCCCGTTCCTCCGTTCTGCCACATCTGCAAAACTTCAGGACATCCGCGCACACACTGCCCGAATCGACAACAATCAACAACGCCACAGCGACAACTTCGACCTTCAAGCAATCAAGTCGCTTCGACACAAACAAATCCTTCGACCCAGATTCAAGCCTCAACGACTTCAACGGGACAACCTGCACAAGGAGCAAGAAACATCGTCAGCTGCATGGCAAGGCTGAGCGACTCTTGCATCACGGGATCACCACCATACTACTCACCAGAAGAACAACTTGATGAAAGAACTCCACGCCGTGAGACACTGGAGCCGAATCCGACATACGCAGCTATCGCCCAGAGCGAACCATCCGGGAAGGACACGTGGTTCTTGGACAGTTGCTGCGGACAGCACATGTGTTCTTCAGGACGCTTCGTGCAGCGAGAGTACCAACTCCAACGAGAAGTCGTCATCACCGTCGCCAACAATCAGAACCTGCGCACACGACGACAAGGAGTTGTTCAACTTCAGTCACGAGAAACAAATGTCATTCTACAGATGTCCAAAGTCCTAATCGCAGAAGGCCTCGGCTACAACCTACTGAGCGTCAGTCAGTTGATGGCGAAGGGGATCCATCTTGAAGCAGACAGTACCACCCAAGAACTCAAGTTGTACCACGGGAGAGGAGGCCTTTACATCGGCAAGGCGGTCCTCAAGAACAACGTCTTCGTTCTCGACTTCGTTCCTGATCTCGGCACCGCCGACAGCGACGCCATCGTTAACTTCACCAACTGGACACACCCTCCAGACCTTGATCCAGACTTCAGTCCTGGCGGTTTCTGGTACTCACACACCATCCCTGAGACAGAAAGGACAAGAGCGTTAGCGACAATTCAACATGCAGCAGAGACAACATCGGCAGCAGCAGAGACAACATCGGCAACAGCAGAGACAACGTCGGCAGCAGCAGAGACAACGTCGGCAGCAGCAGAGACAACAACGGCAGCAGCAGGAACATCAACGGCAACAGCAGGAACTTCAACACCAGTCGCTGGTCCTTCAACGGCACCACTCCTCGACGACACACCACCGACATCCGCGCAACAGCTCAACCCGACACGACGAGAAGTCCACCGAAGCGCGAACGTCACCACCGGCTTCTACTCCAACTCCGACATGTACCGACGCTCGCCCGGACACCGCGCCACCGAAGGAACCTGGCACGCAAGGATGGGACATCCAAGCCACACGGTGTTAAACAACACAATAAGAGCAGGAGTGCTCGACAAAGACTCACTTCTACTGATCGACGGCAGAGAACTTCAGCGAGCTCGAGGAACATGCTTCACCTGTCCCGAAGCAGATTTATCACATCAACCGTTTGTGTCTCCCCCGCTACACACAGAGTGGACTCCAGATACTTGGATTCGTCACCGCAGTCCACGGCGCCGCCATTCCTAAGGAGACTGCGACAGTTCAGCAGGCTCTGGGGGGGGAGCATAAAGAAAAATGGCGCGAAGCCATGGACAAGGAACTGAAGGCACTGGAGGAACGCAACACGTGGAAAGTAGTTCCCATCGGCGTAGCACGAAACAAGACCATTCTCACCGGGAAATGGGTTTTTCGCGTGAAGACGAAGGCCGACGGCACAATTGACAAATTTAAGGCACGATGGGTCGTGCGTGGCTTCGACCAAGAACACGGGCGAGACTTCACCGAAACCTTCGCTCCGGTCAGCCGACACACTTCGCTCCGAATCCTTCTCGCGATCGCCGCCATGAAGAAAAAGAAGCTACGGCAAATCGATGTCGCGAACGCCTTCCTCTACGCACCCGTTGACGCAGAAATTTTCGTGGAACTACCGCACGGTACCAACGGGGAGCCGAATCAGGTCTGTCAACTGCTGAAGTCGCTCTACGGGATTAAGCAAGCTCCGCGGCTATGGCAGCAGTATCTGCACGCCCGCCTCATCCGCATCGGCTTCAAGCAATTACCCCACGATCAGGGGATGTACCGACTTACGAAAGGCGCAGACTACATCCTGCTAATCGTCTACGTAGACGATCTCCTTTACATCGGCTCAACTGACGGCATCACTACCTGGTTCGAAGGGGAGCTGCAGCAAGATCTCACGCTCACGGTCTTATCTACCGTCACTCAGTACCTTGGGCTCAACATCCGGGAAGAGGAAGATGCGATCTACCTCAGCGCCGCGAAATACGCCGACACCATCGCCAAGCGCTTCGCACTTACACCAACCGCCATCTCTACACCGTACCGCTACACGTCAGGCAACAACAAGGAAGGCCCCGTTCTACTCAAGCCCGCCGGCATACGCGACTACCAAAGAAAGCTGGGCTGCCTTCTCTTCGCAGCTGTTACCTGCCGTCCAGACCTATCGTACTCTGCAAGCGAACTCGCAACCTACCTCAAGAGGCCCGAAGCGGAACACCTAGCGGAACTCGACCGCGCTCTTCACTACCTCGTTAGCACCCCAACGATCGGCCTAACCTACCACAAGAACGCAACCACACCGACTAAGTTAATCGGCTACGTCGACGCCGATCACGCTGGCGACTCCGACAACAGGCGTTCGCGCACCGGCTACGTCTACCGCCTCGAACCTATCGGACCTATCTCTTGGTAGTCGAGCAAGCAGGAATTAATCGCTCTCTCGTCAGCTGAAGCAGAATATATTGCACTCTGCTCAGCCACCAAGGAAGGACTTTACCTTCGCGAGCTGCTAGAAGAAGCGAAGTTAGCTGAGTTACCCAACTTCACCCTGTTCTGCGACAACCAGTCGGCAATTCGCATCGCCAACAAGAACGGCTTCGCGAACAAGACGAAACACATTGCCCTACGCTACTTCTTCGTGAAGGACGAAATCGAGAAGGGGAGACTCGAGCTGTCATACTGTCCCACGTCCGAGATGGCAGCTGACTACCTGACCAAGAAGCTCGGAAAGCAGAAGTTCGAATACTGCATGCTGCTGACTGGACAGAGCCACGTCAGCGACACTCCAGAAGCGAAGGGGAGTGTTGGAAACAATCGGTCTTAAGCGCCTCTGTCGTGTCGAAACACTAAGGCACAAATGAGGCAGAGCATATCAAAGCACCAGCGAGTCAACCCTCGGAGGTTGAAGTAACCGCTGGAGGTTACGGGAAGTCAAAGGTCAGCGACCTTTGACCTGACGAATACAGCGCGACAGCAAGGACACACAACTGACTCGCTACAGAGCAGTCGCCCGAGTCGTCACTGTATCGAACCACAACAGCAACAGTAAAGTAGTTACAACCGTACCTCTTCGTATTCCTCGTACTCTTATATATATTCTTGTATCTCTTTGTTTCAATTAACTTACTTTGCCCTCACATACTAGCGCAAGGTGGTTCACTACTCTTTAATTAACGCTTCCGCTATTACATCAACCCTACTCAGATTTCACCCCTGCAAAGATCCTAAGGGCTTTTCTCAGCCCAACAAGACATTCTACTGCTTGAACAATTAAGTACGAACAATGCTGCTATGTAACTCTGACGAACTGAGGGGAGCCAGTGACATCAGCAGGGGGATGATGACTTGTGCAAGTGTGTGCAGAAACTCAAAAGGATTTTGAAAGAGAGTCCAAAGACTGCTGCTGTTGCTGCTGCTGTTGCTGCTGTTGCTGCTGCTGTGGTTGCTGTTGCTGCTGCTGGTGTTGCTGTTGCTGCTGCTGCTTCCGCCTTAAAAGCATTTGCTGGTGCTGTTGAAACCGCTGCTGCATCTGCAGCTGCTGCAGCCGAATCAGAGAATTCACACGAGTCTCTGTCTGCTCCTCTTCACCTAGCTGCTGCTGCTGCTGCTGCTGCTGCTGCTGCTGCTGCTGCTGCTGCTGCTGCTGCTGCTGCTGCTGCTGCTGCTGCTGCTGCTGCTGCTGCTGCTGCTGATGCAAGTGACGATGTTGCTCCTGCTGCTGCATCTGGTGCTGCTGCTCTTGCTGATCCTGTTGTCTCTCCTTCTCACACACTCCCTGCCCTTCCTGCCTTTCCTTACCTTCCTTACCTTCCCTTACTTCCCCTTCTTCCCCTCCTCCCCACAGTTGCATCCCACCACCCTCACCACTGCCCCTACCACCATCACCGCACCTAACCGTATCAACACCAGCACCATGAGTCACTGCCGCCGTCGCAGCGGCAGAAGCGACAGCAGCATTGCCGTTAGCAACAATGCCAGCAGCAGCAGCTACATCAGCAGCAGTGGCAGCAATAGCAGCAGGGGTAGAATCAGGAGATATTTTAGCGTCAATTGAACCCTCCCCAACTCCAGGCAAACTACCAGCCACAGCACCAGTCATGGCCGCTGCTGCCCGGGCCCTCTCCACAGCTGCCCGCAAAGCTGCCCGGATAACTTCCACCGTAGGCTCTTTCCTGCCCTTCTTCCTCCAATCTGCCCCACTTTTCTCCCTCTCTCTCTCCCTCTCCCTCTCCCTGCTACGGCTGCTCCCACCCCCCTCCACCGCTCCCAACCCCCCCGAATTGAGCGGGCTGCTACCACCAGCAGGGGCAGAATGGGAGGAGGAGGAGGGGAGTGGGGAGAAAGAGGAGGGGCGGGAGGAATGCAGCGGCTCGTCTGACTCGGGAGGAGGGTCCCTAGAGAGGAGCATTTGATGGGTGACTCGGTTGCTGCAGGAGGCTGTTTCCAGTGCTCGCACGTGCAGGCGCAGCACCTGTGGTATGGGCAGACGGACATACATATGGGGAGGAGCAGGGGAGGGAAGGGTATGAGAGATCATTGGTTACAGGGGGAGGAGGGTCTTGTGAGAGGAGCATCTGGTGTGTGACTCGGTTGCTGCAGGAGGCTGTTTCCAGTGCTTGCACGTGCAGACGAAGGACCTGCAGTTAAGGGAAAGGAAGGGAAGGAAAGGGTGTGGGGGTTCATCGGTGTGTGGACCACGGTGTCTGGAGAGCAGCATCTGATGGGTGACTCGGTTGCTGCAGGAGGGCGTTTCCAGTGCTCGCACATGCAGACGAAGAACCTGTGTGGTAGGGGCGGACATACTTTTGAGAATTCTCAAAAGTGCAAGCAAAGGACCTGTGTGGTAGGGGCGGACATACGAGGCGGAGCAGGGGACAGAAAGGTGCGGTGTGGAGACTCGTCAGTTTCAGGGGAAGGAGGTTCTCGGGAGAGAAGCATCTGGTGGGTGACTCGGTCACACTCACAGTCACCCTCCTCACACACTCAGTCACCCTCCTCACACTCACAGTCACCCTCCTCACACACTCAGTCACCCTCCTCACACTCACAGTCACCCTCCTCACACACTCAGTCACCCTCCTCACACTCACAGTCACCCTCCTCACAATCACACTCACATTTATCGCTTTCTTGAGTAATGCCAGCAGGTCAGGATGATCCTCACACGATACCACAAACCAAGTCATGTGCAATTTCACAACCACCATAGTCACACAAGCCCCACCCTCGCCACCGTCACACCCACCCTTGTCATAATCACACTCACATCAATCGCTTTCTTGAGTGATGCCAGCAGGTCGGGATGATCTTCACACGATACCACAAACCGAATCAGCTCCTCTCCTCCTCCCCCCTCTCCCTCTCCCGCCCCCCCTTCCCCTTCTCCTCCCCCACCACCACCCCCCTCCTCCCTGCACTCCCCTTTCCTCCTCTTCCTCCCTCCGCCCTCCTCCCCACCCTCACAGCTCCCCCCCCTCTTTCCCCCACCCTTTCTCCGCCCTCCGCCACTCCCCTCTCCACGACCTTCCACCCCCTCCCCCCCTTCCCCCTCTCCTCCCCCTTCCCCGCCTTCCCCCCTAACCGCCCCACCGCCCTCTCTCACCCCCTCCTCCCCCACCGTCCCCACCACCTCCTCCACCTCTAAAACATCCACATCCCTCGGTACCGCTCCAAACCCCTTTCCCCCCATCCCTCCCCCCGCCCCCGCCTCCCCTTCCGCCTCCCCCTCCCCCTCCGCATGCCTCTCCGCGTGCAGAGCTCGCAGCACGTCCACCACCTCGCCTAGGAGTGTTGCTTTATCCGTCTGGAGGGGGGGGGAGCAACGGGGTAAGGAATGAGGGTAGGGAACAGGGGGAAAGGGGATAAAGTGCCCTGCACACGCCTCTCCCTCTCCGCGTGCAGCCCTCGCCTATCAACGTCGCCTTGTCCGTCTGAATGGGGGGAAGAAGAGGGGGCGGAAGGAGGGTAGGGAACAGGGGGAAGGAGGATAAAGTGCCCTGCACACGTCTCTCCGCGTGCACCACCTCGCCTAGCAGTGTCGCCTTGTCCGCCTGAAGAGGGGGGGGAAGCGGGGTAAGGAGGAATGAGGGTAGGGAGCAGGGGGAAGGAGGATAAAGTGCCCTGCACACGCCTCTCCCTCTCCGCGTGCAGAGCTCGCAGCACGTCCACCACCTCTCCTAGAAGGGTTGCTTTGTCCGTCTGGATAGGGGGAGGAGCAGGTGGGGGGGGGGGGGTAACAGGGGAGGGACGGGGTAGGGCATGGGCGGTAGGGCACGCGGAGAACACTGTCTTTCACGTCTCTCCGCGTGCAGCGCCGTGATGAGGCGATTTTTGAGTCGACTCAAAAATCGCCTCATCACACGTAGGGCATGGGCGGTTGTGAGAACACTGTCTTTTACGTCTCTCCGCGTGCAGCGCCCGCAGCACGTCCACCACCTCTCCTAGGAGTGTTGCTTTGTCCGTCTGAATGGAAGGGGCACGAACACAGGAAAGTGGGGAGTTGGGGAGTGCAGGCATGTCTCTCTCCCTCTCTCTCTCCGCGTCCGTGTATTAGATCCAAGCAGGTACAGACATGCAAACATGTCTCTCTCCCTCTCTCTCTCCGCGTGCAGCGCTCGCAGCACGTCCACCACCTCGCCTAGGAGTGTCGTTTTGTCCGTCTGAGGAACGGGGGACGTGAGGAACGGGGGAGAGGTTGGGGGGAGAGAGAGAGGGCAGAACAGGGTGAATGAGGAAGAGTACCCTTTACACACCTTCCTCTCCGCGTGCAGCGCCCACTGCACGTCACGGGGGATGGGTAGGGAACGGGGGAGCGGAGGGGGGGGTGGGGGGTTTGAGGCATGAGAATAGGTAACCCCCTTCTCCGCTTCTCCTCTACCTCCCCCTCTCCGCCTTCGGTCTGCCTCTCCCTCTCCTCCGCCTCTCCACCTCTCCACCTCTCCGCCTCTCCACCTCTCCACCTCTCCGCCTCTCCACCTCTCCACCTCTCCACCTCTCCGCCTCTCCGCCTCTCTGCCTCTCTGCCTCTCCCATCCAGTGAGCCCTTTATGAGGCGCCTAAAGAACCACACCTTGCTAGAGCTTCCGCCTCTCCACCTCTCCGCCTCTCCCCCACTCCCCTCTCTGCCTCACCCATCCAGTGAGCCCTTTATGAGGCGCCTTGTGCTGGTTGATGCGCCCCCTGCGCCTCTGCTCTTCCTCTCCGCCTCTCCGCCTCTCCGCATCTCCGCCTCTCTGCCTCTCCCATCTAGTGAGCCTTTTTTGAGGCGCCTAAAGAGCCGTACCTTGCTAGAGCTGGGCAGGAGCGCGCGCAGCGTCGCGAGGTGCTGGTTGATGCGCTCCCTGCGCCGCCGCTCCGCCTCGCTGTGCGAGCGCGACTGCGCCAGCGCCTTCGCCTCCATCTCCGCCATCGACGCGCGCGCCGCCTCCCCGCCCCCGCCGTAAAACGCGGAGATGTCGACTGAAGACCGGCGGAAGAGGAGAGGAGGGAGGTGGGGAGGGGTGCGTGGAGAGGAGGCGGGGGAGGAGAAGAGGGAGGTGGGGAGGGGTGCGACGTCTGTGTATCCAAAATAAGGGGCACCTAGCTAGCAAATGAAACCGCCGACACGAAACCCGCTACATTCTAAACACGCTTAGAAAATCGCCTGAGCCTCACATTCGTTCTTAAAAAATCTGCGAATTACACTCACGTACCTCCTGGCAAATGGCACAGGCGCTTAGAAAATCACTCCACACAATAGCTAGGATCTACTCGCACGTACCTCTTGGGAAAATACATAGGCGCTTCGAACATTGCCCCACACGGAAGCTCCAATTCACTCTCATGCGTACTGCCTAAGGAGATTCTTAGGCACTTCTAGGAAAGTCTCACACGGAAGCTACTTGTCACTCTCACGCGCGCGTACCTCCTGGAAATCCCCCCGCCAGTTGTGCTCCCCCCAGCAATGCCGCCTGCTGCCCCGCCAGCTCCTGGAGCAGGAGAAAGTCCGCCTGCTGCTGCGCCGCCCCCCCGCCCATGCGGAAATCCACCTGCTGCGCCGCCGTCCCCCCAGCCAGGAGAAACTCCGCCGCCTGCTGCTGCGCCCCTCCGACATCGAACCTTCCCCCGTCCCCGTTCAGCTGCGCGACTGCGCCCATTCCTCCCCGCGCGCCCGACAGAGCTCCCCCTGCCCCTCCCCCGAGCCCGCTACGACGCGCAGTAGCGCTGCTAGCAAGCGCGCTCCGCATCGCGGCTGTAGCGGCTGTAGCCGCCGCCGCCGCCGCCGCTGCAGTGCCAGCAGCATTGGTGCTCGCAACGGGATTCCCGCTGCTCCTGAGTGGAATCTTTCCCGAAGCTACCGCCGCAGCTAGACTCGCGTCGTCCATGCCCAACAAATCGTTGACACAAGCACCTGCCGCGCCAGCTATAAGGCTCGGGCCCAAACCTGCAGCCAGGTTCGGCACCAAACCTAATCCATTCGACCGGAGAAGATCAACACGGACGGACCTACTAGCGCCCGAGCCAGCTGCTCCAAACCCTAAAGAATTATGTACATCAGGTGCTGCTGACGTGGCAAGAGCTTCTACGGGCGAACCGGACAAAGCGCGGCGGTTTCCTCCCGCAAAGGACGCCGCGCGTTGCTGCTGCTGCTGCTGCTGCTGCTGCTGCTGTTGTTGTTGGTGCTGCTGCTGCTGCTGTTGTTGGTGGTGCTGCTGCTGCTGCTGCTGCTGCTGCTGCTGATTGTGTTGTTGATCAAGCGCCGCTAGAGCAGCCATCGGATCGTTCATGCTCGCGCAGAGAAACGCGAGCGACTGCGAGTCCGTGCCTCCAGCCCACGACATGGTGTAAGTAAGTTGAACGAAATTATTTCGCCTATTTGACGTCGAGTTTCGATAGTCCCCAACAACCGAAAAAAACCGCAGCCGAGTAGGGCGAGGAAAGGAAGACTCACATAGGCCTCTATAGGCTCACTGAAAAGCGACGACACGCGTACACGGCCATACGGTTAAGCGTCTAGGCAACTACGCGATTATTATGGAAAAATATAGGAAAACCGAGAAATCGTGTACTGTAACTAGTATCAGGAGAAGCGAAAATTGACCAAGCGCGTAGACGTAGTCAGTACGGAAGGCAGAGCTTCAAAACGATTATACACAACACTGCGATACATCGACATCTCCTAGAATCCGACTCTACCTAAAATAAGGACATCTACGATTTTACGAATCATTGCCGTGGAGGATTTACGCGTTTGTATTCATGTCCAACGCACACACGAAGAGTACACGCACTGGACTGTACGTCGTAAGTTGACACGCATGTTCTCGTAGCAGCTGATGTAACGACCGATGAAGTTGAAGCGCATTCACCCGATACGTACGCACATGGAAAGGAAACGTTGGCTTGGCAGACACAACACAGCCATGCTGGCGAGCTGCATGCACATGCACTGTACACATAATCAATTCTGCACGCGTTGAACCGATTCTGTATGGGCATGTCTTGGGGAGGAGGACGTATGGATTGGGTTCGGTTTGGGATAATCAAGTCTCCGGAATAGATTGTGGGTTTGGGGAAGTGTGGAAGAGGGTTGATTGGGGGAAACGGGTGGATGGAGAGTTTTGGTGGGGCAAGAGGTTGGTGGAGGTTCGGACGGTGGTGGGGTGAATGGGGAATAGAGAGTGGTTGAGGAGGGTGGGTGAGGGTTAAGGGGAATGAGGAGGGAATGATGTGACGTGTCTCTGCAGAAAAACCTAGGGAGATTCATGAGAAATGACGCGGCTGGTGGGGAGTTTCCGCTGCACGTGAACGGTGAGACAAATGGCCCAGCGGCCCACCTAACCGAACCGAACCCGCGCCTGTCACCCCATCTCCCCCAGCCCCCAAACCAAAGCCCCACGCTGTGCTGTACGTACACACACCTCCCCCTCTCGATTTTGGCGAGACATATTTTGCAGCGAGTGAGAACCGAATCTGAGATTGCGGGCAGGAAGAAGCTGGTTTGGTTTGGTTTGGTTTGGTTTGGTTTGATCGGGTGGGTGCACCTGCCCCACGATATTTACGTGTACAACCGCGTCAGGGCCGCAATCTTCAGAGCTCTGGTCAGGTCGATCACATCACAAGTGAGGACGACCGACGAACCAGCGGTCGGCAATGCACTGTGACTAGTTTCTCGCTGGGGGCTATCACAACACAACCTTGAAATTACGGGACCTTGACTTTCTCAAATTTGAAGTGACGCCACCCAATCCTCATCGGGGCTTTCGATTCGTTTTGGGAGACCGGAGTTGAGGACGAGGTTCACGGTGCCTCTGCAGTGTGGCAGTCGCAAATGTCGGACCAGAACTTGCTGTGTAGTACTGTACAAACATGATGCCCCAACCTTATCTCTGCCCGAAGGCTATCCGATCTCAGAAACTGTCGCCCGAATCTACTGTGCAGGATGTTCTTATTCAGTACTGGATTTGCATGTGGTGCGCAAACAGTACAGTAGTCAGCAACTGTTTAATTCTCGTTTTACTGTAATGGAATTTGAATCAAGAACCATATTCACTCTTCCATACAGATCCTTTCAAAGCTTTAATTATTTCATGGCGACTCCAAAAATGATAATAATGAACAAGATCAGTAAACAGCTGCCAAATGTATGTATATATATATATATATTTTAGGGGTCCAGATCGCAAGCACATATTTCTAGGGGCGTACAAGCCTAGGAGTGATAAGAGTCAACGATGGGAATCCCATACATTATCAACAGAGCCAGGGGCAGTGAGAGGTGCGAGGGGCTTGTGGTACAGGTGGCGCTGGAGCACCAGGAGGCATAGGAGGCACAAGTGCAACCCATGATGTATGCAGAGCGGCAAAAACTACTTCCTATGTGTGACAGTTATTGGGGATGACCAAAGAGGCAAGCTTGCCGCCTGAGACACAATATTCGTTGAAGGAACAAGCAGACGTTACTGGCCAAGTCACTGGGGGAGGGTAGAGAAGGCAGAGACGGTAAAAACACTCTTTGGTCCAAGTGGCACGTGGGCCAGCTGAGGCACAGTACCTGTTGAAAGAGCATGCGGACGGTAACACCCTCAGATACAGCCTGGCCAAGTCACTGGGGGAGGGGAGAGAAGGCAGAGACGGTAAAAACAATCCTTGGTCCAAGTGGCATGGTGAAGTCACAGTATTTGTTGAACCAACCAGCAAAGATTAACAGCTCAGATACAGCCAGTCCAGGTCATCGGAAGAGGGGAGAGAAGGCGGACATGGTAAAAACACCTCTTTGGTCCAAGTGGCACGTGGGCCAGCTGAGGCACAGTACCTGTTGAAAGAGCCAGCGGACGTTGACACCCTCAGATACAGCCTGGCCAAGTCATTAGAAGAGGGGAGAGAAGGCAGAGACAGTAAAGGCACCTCCTTGGTCAAAGTGGCAAGCTGGCCACATGAGACACATTATTCCTTGAAAGAGCCCGCGGACGGTAACACCCTCAGATAAAGCCTGCCCAAGTCATAGGAACACGGGAGAGACAGCGGAGACGGTAAAGGTGTACACTTGAAACAAATGGGCAAGAAAGTAAAAAGTAACAAGGATTTGGAATGAAACATGCTATGAGGGAGAAACTTGGTGGATGAAGAAAATCAGGTGGAGGGATGACACATAATCAGATCGATAGTTGACTGTTTGGTCAGAGTGTAAAACATAGTCTACCTTGCCACTACCACTGGTGTGCACCATGCATGGAGAGCACTAAGCATTCAAGAAACACATCATGCTGCAATGGTAAAGATGAGCAAGGAATGTGCGCATGATGCGCTTTCAGGCAAGAGTAGCGAGCGGAAATTGTAGCAAGCGGGAAGATTAGCACGCGGACAGAGTAGCAAGTAGGAATATTAGCAAGCGGACAGAGTGGCAAGTAGGAATATTAGCAAGCGGACAGAGTAGCAAGTAGGAATATTAGCAAGCGGACAGAGTGGCATGCGGACAGAGTGGCAAGTGGACAAAGTGGCAAGGGGACAGAGTGGCATGCGGACAGAGTGGCAAGCGGACAGAGTGGCAAGCGAGTGGTACGCACGCAAGGTTAGGTCGGCTAGGAAAAAAACGTGAATTAAGTTCCCTCATGGTGAGCGTTAGGGAAAGAGCAGCAAGCGTGCAAGCTCAAACGCCATAACCAAGCTGTCGAGGCATCTCAGAACAAGCGTAGCACGAGTTCAAATGACATGACATACTTGAGGTTTGAGACGTTACGAACAACAAATGCAAGAGTGCAGGAGAGAATGACAAATTGTACTTGGGCTACATCTGAGTCACCTTTGAGAATATTCAAAAGCGAATCACTTTTAAGAATGATTTTGAGAGATTTCCTTCGAGAGTTCTCAAGAGAAGAGGAGCAAATGACATATTGTTTGGGCTTGTGTGACACATTAGCCCATGGGCAAATGACATAATGCCAGTATTGCAGTGAGTACTGGTGCGCTATAGTGTCGCTTGGTGGCTCTCACCCCCCACTTGAGAGTCCAGAGGTGGCGCAAATGCTGCTCACCAAAGGGGAAAGTAGCAAATGATATATTCGTGGCTCTAGTGCCGCTGGGTGGGTGGCACTCACATCCCAAGTTGATGTTGCTGCTGTAGATGATGCTGTTGTTGTAGTTGTTGCTGCTCCTGCTATTGTTGCTGTTGCTGCTACTGCTACTGTTGTTGCTGTTGCTACTGCTGCTGCTGTTGTTGCTGCTCTTGTTGTTGCTTCTGTTGCTGGTTATGTTATTGCTGTTGCTGCTGCTGCTGTTGTTGCTGTTGTTGCTGCTGCTGTTGTTGCTGTTGCTGTTGCTGTTGCTGTTGCTGCTGCTGCTGTTGTTGCGGTTGCTGTTGCTGTTGCTGTTGTTGTTGCTGCTGCTGTTGTTGCCCCTGTGGCACAGTTGAGAAGCCAGAGATGGCGCAAATGCTGCACATCAAAGGGGAGAGTGCATGCACGGGTAAATGCTAATATGGTTCAACCATGTGAGAAGGTATTTCATGTTTCGGGAACTAGGGATTCGGTATTAGGGTTTCGGGTTTAGGTGGTGAAAAAAAAAGTTGGCATTAAATATTTGTGAGAATTCAGTCTCACTCTTCTTGCTTTAACTCTCAGTGCTCACCTTTATTCCCCCCCTCCCCCCTCCCCCCGCCTTCACCTTAAGTTTGTTCGTGCTTAGATCTGTCAGTTTGCAGTACCTCCCATCACTCACCTCTCTTCCCCCGCTACAGTCACGACGATGTGCCTCCTGTTTTCCCTCCTATCACTCACCTCTCTTCCCCCGCTGTAGTCACCTGGTGCAGTCACATCACTGTACCTGTGAGAGTACGACGGCTTATGCCAGCTATGCTTGCTTGCCTTTACTTTATTATGCTATTTCTAGCATAGGATAATTAGGTGCATGCATGAATTGCTTGATTTCCTAGGCTAGGTGCTTTCCTATATTTTATTATAGTTATAGCACCGAGCTAGGTTGCGTGCACCGAATTCTGGCTTTTCGGTTGACACCGAATTGCCTTCTACCGAATTCGGGAAGGATCTGCTCGGGACGCTTCGCGACCCTCAGAACCTTCGCGTAACACCTGGTTACTGGGCCTTGTGTCGAGCCTATATATAGCCTCGTGTTGTACCCAGGTGATTCAATCAATTACAATTCACTTTTCTGAGCTCGATCCTAGATCCTCACACTTGGTAATCAGAGCTTGTTTACACGCGAAGTTTTCGACCGCTAAAACCTAGCTTTTAAAACCGCGGGGGCGACGACGGAAAGCGCCGATTACGGGTACGTAAACCAGTTCCGCGCTATTTTTTAACGGCCCCCTCGAACCGGTTTTCGA